TTCTCAATCCTCTTTTGTGGTTCTCTGTTCTCCCAGTCTATCTTTCCATGGTTTAAGTCTCCCATGTACTATTCCTGCAGGCAACCAAAGCTGCTGTATTGTATTAATGGTTGCCATGCTGTTTATATCATACTACTGTTTGGGTCTTCTCTCATTTAATGGTTATAAATTATTGCTACTATTATCTTAGGTATCCCGACCAGGAGGCCTGGTCGGGGACTGGGCCGCGCGGACGTTGAGCCCTGAAATCATCGCAAGGTAAAGTTACCCCCACCCCCCTTCCCATTGTCACAGTTCCTGTTGTGTAGTCTCTGAATCCTTCACAGCCCGGGATATCCATCTCTTCGAAACTCTAGTTCTTCCTTATCAGCAGGGTCATTCCCCCTCCTCCACTTCCTTCTATCCATTTCCTTACAATATAGTAGTCCTGCAGAAACACTGCATTCGTTATGATGCCTGACAATTTTGTTCCTGTGAGTGATATTACATTTGGGGTATCATCTTCTTGTGACATTTCCTCTGGTTTACTTCCTTTATTTCTAATCCCATCTATGTTTGAGTACATTACCTTGAAGCTCACTTTCCTATGTCCATAATCACATACTCTCCTCACTAGTGTAGGAAGTTGTCCTATGGGCAGGATTATTTAGGAACAGGAATACTAACTACCATATGGCAGCTGTCCTGTGGTTTGGAGGGAGTTAGAGTGGGGGATGGGGGCTTAGGGCTTTCCTAGGCCTGCTTGGGGCAGGAGGATGACCAAGGGATGGAGGAGGCAACAGCTACTTGGGGTGAGGGGGGGGGGGGGATGGAGGATTTGGGTAACAGGGTGATCACTGTATGGGGGCAAAGAGGGGCCCAGGCTTGGTGTTAGAAGGGGGGGGTGTTGCATTTTTCTCAGGGGTTGCTAAATTGCTGGTTGTGGGTTCCCCACTCCCCTCTGGGATTGTTGGGTAGGACACTTGTCTTTCCCTGGTTACCTTCCCTCTCCCTGAGCCTCTTCTTTGCTTTCAGCTGCTCGGATTCTCTGGTGCCTAGCCATGCCCCTCAGAAGGATATGATTTTTTTATATTCCATTACATTTTGAGTTTGCTCTTCTTTACTAGAATTTCCTCTTTTATGCCCATGTTCGTGAATGCTATTTTTATCAATCGTGTGTGTGTGTGGGGGGGGGGGGAGGAGTCTTGGTCTGTGTTTGTATGTAATATTATACAGACACATTACTGAGCCAGTTGGGCAGCTGGTATCTCGTCATTTTCTTTTTTTATCTGTGGAGCATCAAGTAACTAACTCTAAGGATCTTACATCTCATGTTAAAGCGACCAACGACCCCAAAGCAGTTCTCATGCATAACTTTCCTGTCTTGGCCGAAAACCAAACATTTTGGGGCATAGTTATTAATGATTATTGTAAAATTCAAAACAAAAGGCTCAATGTCAAAGCGTATTATTCTGTGTTTCTGCAAATCACATGAATTGTCGCCACTCAAATATCAGCGCATGACGAATTTGGCATCCTGGTACTCAACACCTGGGGTTCACAATGTGTAATATCATATGATATAACAATGCTTCACATAAAATAATATTAACTATTGATAATGTAAAGTTTTCCTAGTAAAATGAATGTACAAATGATTGTATAATGCATATCATTAAAACAAAAAGATATACAAAGTCTCCTACACCTGCAGGAATGGCCCACGAGCAACCTAAAGACCTGGAGGTTATCTGGAGATGATTTCGGGGCTTTAGTGTCCCCGCGGCCCGGTCCTCGACCAGGCCTCCACCCCCAGGAAGCAGCCCGTGACAGCTGACTAACACCCAGGTACCTATTTTACTGCTAGGTAACAGGGGCATAGGGTGAAAGAAACGTTGCCCATTGTTTCTCGCCGGCGCCTGGGATCGAACCCAGGACCACAGGATCACAAGTCCAGCGTGCTGTCCGCTCGGCCGACCGGCTCCCTGCCTCTCACTGGAAAATGTTATCTAAATTAGACAGTCTGTCTGACCCACTTTTTTGTTTATTCGTTTCCTTCAAGTATGTAAGTGATACGCGGAATGGCAAGCGAGGCTTCCTCTTGCCCCGCCCGCCCGCAGTCCCCCATCCACCAGGCTGCCAGCGCTCCTGGGATAGTTGATAAAGCGAGCCAGGAGAATCACCCCAACATAAAGATTCCACAGAGGCTTACACTCCAGGTGGATGGAGTTACTCACCTAGTTGTACTTACGGGGAATGAGCTCCGGCTCTTAGGTCACGCCTCTCGACTTTTAATCGATTGATGTACAGGTCTCAGAGCCTACTGACACCAGTCATTAGGACATTCTAGTGGACCAAACTCTCACAAGTCAAGCCTGGCCTCGGGCCGGCCTTGGGGAGTAGAACTCCCAGAACCCCATCAATCAACCATATCTACATTTGAAGCTGTAAAGAGTATGCATCCACTTCTCTTCCATCGTTCCTAGTTCACGTACCCGACTGGTATGCTAAATACTCCCCTCTCCATTCCCATCAGTATGTTGCGTACAGCGATCATGTCTCCACGGCTTCTTTTCTTTCAGAGACGGGAGGTTTAACTCCTTTGAGTTTTTTCTCGTCTCCTACAGTTTAAACAATTATGATAAGAAACAGGAAGGGTCGGAAATTATTGGATTAGACGACCGATAGCTGGAAGTTCTGTCAAAAGACCACGACCTCCCTCAACCAGCACCCGTAGACGCTAATTTTATTTATTTATTTATTTATATATACAAGAAGGTACATTTGGATTGTGAGGAGACATAGCATAGTAATTATATTCTTGTAAAGCCACCAGTACGCGCAGCGTTTCGGGCAGAAACGTACTCCCCTGTACTAATACTCCCCTAATAAGTAATTAGTACACATCCACACATACACCAGGCCCTTAGCGATGCTCAGGAAGATGATCAGTCCTAGAGTAGCGAGGAAGTGGAAGGTGTTGGGATGATAAATGAGGCTATTCCTTACATGGCATCACAAGTAGGCAAGACGAAGCTCACCTATGCTAGACGCCACAAAGTTTGTGAACCAGTCTCAGGCGCTGAAGTTCGATTCCTGCTAATACAGCTAGACGCACCAATGCAACTGTGGCATGCGGTTACCTTTTTTTCGGCTGTGTATTGAGCAACATTTTATATAACTCCCTTCCATATATATATATATATATATATATATATATATATATATATATATATATATATATATATATATATATATATATATATATATATATATATATATACATACATACATACATACATACAAGAGTTTTCACATTCTTGTACAGCCACTAGCACCCATAGCGTTTCAGACAAATCCTTAATTCTAATTTTCCCCGGAATACGACCCGCCAAATCGTTTAACAACCAGGTACAGCTTCACTGCTGGGTGAACAGAGGCTACAGTTATTTGTTCATTTTACAGCTAAGGATTGACGCCAAGTAAAACCTCCCCGGCCAGGATACGAACCCAGGCCAAAGCGTTTGCGAAACGTCAGGCGAGTGTGTTACCAACATTACCTTATGAGTGCGAAACAACCTGGAAAACGTCATTTTTCCATCCCCTCTTAGTTGATGTTATGGAGGAGGGGGGGGGGACTCGTCCCAGCAGCACCGGGAGGGGGGGGACTCGTCCCAGCAGCACCGGGGGGGTGGGGGTTGGGCTCGGCTCAACAGCACAGGGGGGAGGAACTCGGCCCAGCATCACTGGGGGGGGGGGGGGTGGAGAGACTCGGCCCAGCAGCACTGAGGAAGGGGGAGGGACTCGGCCCAGCAGCACTAGGAGAGAGGGGGGGGGAATCGGCCCAGCATCACTGGGGAGACTCGGCCCAGCAGCACTGGGGGGGGGTCGGCACAGCATCACTAAGGGGGGGGGGGAAATCGGCCCAGCAGCCCTGGGAGAGGGGGGGGGGAAATCGGCCCAGCATCACTGGGGAGACTCGGCCCAGCAGCACTAGGGAGACTTGGCCCAGCAGTACAGGGGAGACTCGGCCCAGCAGTCTGGGGAGACTCGGCCCAGCAGTCTGGGGAGACTCGGCCCAGCAGCACTGGGGAGACTTGGCCCAGCAGCACTGGGGAGACTTGGCCCAGCAGCACTGGGGAGACTTGGCCCAGCAGTACAGGGGAGACTCGGCCCAGCAGTCTGGGGAGACTCGGCCCAGCAGCACTGGGGAGACTCGACCCAGCAACACCGGAGTCATGAAAAGCACAATAAGCAGGGCGAGTACCATGAGCAGGGGGCGAGAAGTACCATGTGCAGGGGGCGAGAAGTACCATGAGCAGGGGGCGAGAAGTACCATGAGCAGGGGGCGAGAAGTACCAGGAGCAGGGGGGCGAGAAGTACCAGGAGCAGGGGGCGAGAAGTACCAGGAGCAGGGGGGCGAGAAGTACCAGGAGCAAGGGGCGAGAAGTACCATGAGCAGGGGGCGAGAAGTACCATGAGCAGGGGCGAGAAGTACCAGGAGCAGGGGGCGAGAAGTATCATGAGCAGGGGGCGAGAAGTACCAGGAGCAGGGGGCGAGAAGTGCCAGGAGCAGGGGGGGCGAGAAGTACCATGTGCAAGGGGCGAGAAGTACCATGTGCAGGGGGCGAGAAGTACCATGAGCAGGGGGCGAGAAGTACCATGTGCAGGGGGCGAGAAGTACCAGGAGCAGGGGGCGAGAAGTGCCAGGAGCAGGGGGGCGAGAAGTACCATGTGCAAGGGGCGAGAAGTACCATGAGCAGGGGGCGAGAAGTACCATGAGCAGGGGGCGAGAAGTACCATGTGTCGGGGCGAGAAGTACAGTCCGCCGTACAGAACAGTACATAACAGTGGAGTAAGAACAAACAGTACAGGAGTGGGTTGCCTGGGCAAGGCCGAGGACCCGCGATGCTAGCTAGCAACAGTAGGGCTGACCTGGCCCGTGAGTGGCCCCTAGTAACTTGCAGTAGTAGCAAGGCGCCCCAGACAGAAGAAGACAGTCCCGGGGTGGTCCACCTTACCTTGGGCTCTCGGAGTTCCACTTGAAGCGTCCTCTGCCCTATTCACTATGTTCAAGTGACTAGAAGAGTAGCCTGGTGTGGCCACTATGGTCCACACGAGCCATACAGTAGCAACAGCCACTAGGATAGCTGAGGCCAAAAGGCCTGACCAATGTGGTGCACTTGTCATGCTGGCTGGCCTCGTGTACAAGTCCAACTCATCTCACGCGCGTGTGAGCACCCACCAACAGCGGCGTCCTAACCCTCGCACTGTCACTGCGGCACTGACTGGCTCACTCCCTGACTGGGAGGTGGGTAGCTGCCCCGCCGCTCTCCCTGCCCGGGCTCCTCCTACCGCCAGTCTGTTTCCTCCACCCACTGTATTATTTCCCGCGCTCATTACACACGCTCAATTTACACTCTAAATACAACATTATGTCTAAGGAGGGAGTGGTAATTATCTTAATTTCGAGGATGGTCGTTATCACTGTAGCCATACTAATTCCTAACTTGCTTTCATGAAAGACAGGGATAAAAATAGGTATATTGATGAATAATATTGTATACACAAATCAGGTTTCTTTTTTTAATGTTAGTTACATTAAATTTTGTATCTAACTTACCAGAATTGTTCATGTCAGGCGAAGCAGAGATTAGGCTAAGTTATTGAAGTCTTGATAGCTACATCTTTATTTCTTTTTACATTACTAACAATGCTAATAGTATAAATGGACTTTCTTGTGAGCCACAGTTCATATTTTGCTGCTATGTCTACTAGAATTTTAGAGGAGGGATTAAAGCCTAATCTTGAAATATATATATATATATATATATATATATATATATATATATATATATATATATATATATATATATATATATATATATATATATATATATATATATAACAATCAACCAGGGTTGATTGTTAAAGATTTTGAGTCAATATGTCCCCTGCAGCTTGGTCTGCGGCCTAGCATTTCCTTGATGGTTTCCTAGCCTATGAGGCTGTGCTCGAAGGCCCACATCGCAGCCAGGCGGATCCAGGGACTACGGTAGAAACTTACTTATCCAGTTCTCTCTGGGAAAGTTCCAATGTTGTTCCAGCAACATATCTCATGTTTATTGCAAGGACAAATATATTCTGATGGATATCAACGAGAAATTAAAAATGACACACGCGAATGCTTTAAGAAATTTGTGTATGATATGTAGTAAATTATATTTTGATACTGTTAACATCTTCTTCCACTTACTGCCTATAATTGATATCTCCAGAAACTAATAATTTTATCGTGATGATTTGATATTCGTTAAGATAATAATAATTTGAATGCAATTGTTATGGTCATTGTAATTATACTTTTTTAATTATTATTATGATTTTTATTGTATAGTACTTCGAATTGAATTATATACAGTACTAATATTTATTATTATTAATTTTACTCGTATCTATATCAGTCTCAGTATTATCCTCATCAATATTAATATTACCCTCATCAATATAAGTATTACCCTCATCAATATAAGTATTACCCTCATCAATATAAGTATTACCCTCATCAATATAAGTATTACCCTCATCAATATAAGTATTACCCTCATCAATATAAGTATTACCCTCATCAATATAAGTATTACCCTCATCAATATAAGTATTACCCTCATCAATATAAGTATTACCCTCATCAATATAAGTATTACCCTCATCAATATAAGTATTACCCTCATCAATATAAGTATTACTCTCATCAATATAAGTATTACCCTCATCAATATAAGTATTACCCTCATCAATATAAGTATTACCCTCATCAATTTAAGTATTACCCTCATCAATTTAAGTATTACCCTCATCAATATAAGTATTACCCTCATCAATATAAGTATTACCCTCATCAATATAAGTATTACCCTTATCAATATCACTACTTACAAATACCGGAATTATCATTTGATATCGTTATACGGATATAAATATTCTGACCGATATTGTCTTATTATCCGATATGGTTACTCCTATATTATAAAGCACCGATACTACTATACAGTTATAGAGACCTGAAGTGTTACAGATACCGATATTGGTACACATACGGATACTGTAGCATATACCGATACTGATACAGATACCGATACTGTTACATATACCGATACTTACTATTCTGGACAGATGTCAGAACAATATAAATTTTTTTCTAGTATCAAATGTTATCGATTCCGATACTGCAAAAAAAACTAGTCCGATATCATTGTACCGATACTTCGGTACACCTCTGCTTATAAATCAGCACATCATTATTGCCCCCTTATTAATATACTGTAGGTATCAGTATTACCAAATAAATAACCCAGCTCACACGTATGAAACTAGTTTCGACGTCTGTTTTGAATCTTTACCAAGTCCTAACTTAACAAGCGTCCCGTTTAGACTTAATAATGGTCTAGAAAGGACTGAAATGTTATCAGTATTATTCCTATTAATATATGGGATAGTATTACCCTTCATCAATATCAGTAATAGTATTACGTTTATCAATATCAGTGTTAGTATTACTCTTATGAATACCAATTTCAGTATTTCCTGTATCAACAATAGGATTAGTATTAGCTTTACTCAATATCATTGTTATAACAACTGAAGAAAAGTTACATTATAACATATTATGAAGCCGTTGCTGGCTTCAGCCTAGCCTCTTCTCATTCCACCTGGCTGTTTCGCCTTAAAACATTGTCTTCGCCAATCAGCAATACTTTAAACATATTTTTGCGATAGCAATGTTTAACAATCCACAATGTGCAAAAGAATTACGCAAGTATTGCCTTAAATAGCAGACATAAGGACGTACGCGCACGCGCAAACACCAGCAGGCCACTCATCCTGTGTTCGCTTGCTTCCTTCTTTATCAAATATAATATTTGTTCAGCGCACCTTTCTTCTTCGTGTCTTATACGCATCGGCGTAGCGTGAACACCTCATAAAATATAATGCAAATGAAGATGAAAGAGCGAATGATAAAAAAGATACGCCTTGACTTGCGAGGAGGCTGCGTTAAGGGAGTACATCTTGTGTAGTCTGCGGGAGATGCGCGCCCCGGCTCGGGCAAGGTCTAAGAAACGGTATCAAATGAAAGCTTATCTGTCTGCCAGAGTGTCCGAGAAGCCCTGCCTTGATGTCTCTACCCTTCCCCCTTTCCTCTCGCTGTCTGTTTCTCTGTCTGTCTGTCTCTCTGTCTCTGTCTGTCTGTCTCTCTCTGTCTGTCTCTCTCTCTCTCTCTCTCTCCCCCCCACACACACGACACAAGCAAACACCAGGTTGAGCATCTGGTGACGGTTCTTATAACCACAGACAGAAACCCATCTCACGCGACGAGTTCCACCAACTCAATAACGCAACGGGAAAACTCTGAATGATAAGAACGCGGGCACATTATCGGTGTGAAAATAGCACCGGTTATTAGCAGCTTGACAGCTGAGAGTTGGCATCTCACCATTACTCGAGGCACTTGCCTGGCGGCCGTTGACCGCACTAGACAGTAATTAAAGCTTGGCGAATCATAATTTATTTATATATGTTCTTGTGCTGTTTGAACATGGAAATATGGAATAAGACTCGTTGCAAATAAAAAAAAGACCCACTAAATTAATATATATTCGCAAAATCTAATATGTATATCTAGAAACTAAGAGAATTCACAAGTAATTTTATTTGTACTGTTTCTAAAGTAATTCTAAAACTTTTGTTTATGGTTTAAACACTATTTATTATTTTATATTTTCTGATTACATTAGTTAGGTTCCAGTTTATTAAGATGCTTTGCCTGACGGGAAAAACCACCGGCCGGGATAGTTACTTGATTTACACGAGATCCTTGAGTCTACCTTGAGGTGGTTCGGGAGATTAGGGTCCCTGCGGCCCGGTCTCTGTTCAGGCATCCTGGTTAACGTAGAAACTATAGCCTGGTTTATCAGCTTATTGAACGTTAAGCTTAGCTCGCACAAGTGCTCAACTTGTGCGAGCACTTGTGAGCACTTAATAAGTTTAAGCTCAACTTATTTGACATTCATATACTCTCGTCAACTGTCTATTCTCTATTTTACAAGCACATGAACACTTGACTTATTTTAATTAGTCTGCTCCTTTTATAGTGCAGTAGGTCTAGTGCCCTCGTCTTTACTGAACATTCCCTCCATAATGTAGCAGCCTAATGCCCTCGTCTTTACTGAACATTCCCTCCATAATGTAGCAGCCTAATGCCCTCGTCTTTACTGAACATTCCCTCCATAATGTAGCAGCCTAATGCCCTCGTCTTTACTGAACATTCCCTCCATAATGCAGCAGCCTAGTGTCCTCGTCTTTACTGAACATTCCCTCCATAATGCAGCAGCCTAGTGTCCTCGTCTTTACTGAACATTCCCTCCATAATGCAGCAGCCTAGTGTCCTCGTCTTTACTGAACATTCCCTCCATAATGCAGCAGGCTGAGCACTCGGACAATAATGTGTGTGATAACCACTAACTCAAAGAGTCCTCCCCTTAACAAAACTCCTCTCAACCACCTGTTCTCTACCGGCCCTCCTAATACTCATACGCTGGCAGCCCCAAGTTTCCTTCAGAGAACAAGCGCCAGCAAATACATTGGCTACTTGAGAGTCGAATCTTCCATCTTAGTCTTGCCATCAGTATTCTCAACAGGTCGCCATCGCCAATTCTGTCCTCCGACACTCTTATTGGTGGTACTCAAGTGGTCACGCCTGTCAGCCTCGTCAATGTTCTCCGCAAATATAGAGGTAAACTGCGGTATTTTTCTCTCCGATAAATGTCAACAATCCGACGGCTTTCTCAAAGTTGTCCTCTGTGGGTGTTGTTTGTCTTCAGACACACGCAGTTCTTCACACATCCCAGGCGTCTTGTTTAGTGTCTGCACGCTTTATTGGGGGTGTTATTACACACACACACACACACACACACACACACACACACACACACATGGTTAGAAAGGCGGGGTGCAAGAGCTAATAGCTCCATTCTGCAGATACAATTAGTAAATACACACAATCGGCGGCTAGAAAGGTGGGAGTGAGTGTATATTCAACTGTCAATCAACAGATGTACAGGTTCCTGAGCCTACTGGGCTCTATCATATCTACATTTGAAACTGTGTATGGAGTCTGCCTCCACCACATCACTTCCTAATGCATTCCGTTATTAACTACTCTGACAGTGAAATAGTTTTTCAAATGTCTCTTTTCGCATTGTGGCTCATTTGGGTACTTAGTTTCCACCCATGTCCCCTAGTATGAGTATTACCCGTATTAAATAATGTCTTTATCTACCTTGTCAATTCCCACTGAGAATTTTGTATGTGATGATCAAGTCTTCTCAAACTCTTCTGTCTTCCAGCGACGTGTGATGTAGTTCACGCAGTTTTTCCTCGTAACTCATTCCTCTTAGTTCTGGGACTAGTCTGGTGGTATAGCTTTGAAACTTTTCCATTTTCATCTGACTGATTAGGTATGAATTCCACGCTGGAGCTGCATATTTCAGGATTGTTCTGACATATGTGGTATAAAAGGTTCTAAATGATTCCCTTAGACATAAATAAAACATAAATGTATATATGTTAGGGGATACATACATTAATACATGTATATATATATATATATATATATATATATATATATATATATATATATATATATATATATATATATATAAATAAATAAATATATATATATATATATATATATATATATATATATATATATATATATATATATATATATATATATATCATATATATATATATATATTTGTATCAACCCATGTATATCTTGTAACCATCAAATGCATAATAAAGCACAAAAAATAAAAAAGGAAGGGGGTGGTAGGAGAAAAGCACACAGAAACTGTATTGGAGGGGATCTAAACATTCCCTCTAATGCGTTATGCGTGGTATATATATACACACATGTATGTATGCATATATGTATGTACGTGTGTGTGTATACTGAACATGTTTAAACTGGTCAGAATTGCATTTCACCTTTGTAAACGCACATTAAGACACTATGTAAAAAGACACCTCGAGCACTAACACTGTTTATGTAGGACAGGCGTAAATCTGTGCATTTATGTATTTATGTTTGTAGGTTAGATTAGCATTTTAAAAGCACTACAATTACCTGTGGTTAATGGTTTAATAAATCACCCAACTATATATATTTAACAGACCTCTAACCCTGTCCATGGAGGACAGAAGAAAATGTATATAGGCTGGTTAGCATTGTAAATGTGTGGCCAAGTCTGTGGTAGAAAATAATAATATAATAATAATAATAATAATAATAATAATAATAATAATAATAAACAAATGGTCGCCTGTACGTCCTGGCGGGTGAGACGTGATTCCCAGCTAGTTTACTACCATGCTGTTTATATGTAAACAGTTTACTGTCATGCTGATGTTTACATGGTAAACAATTTACTGCCATGCTGGTGTTTACATGGCTACCATATGTCTCGTGCAGTAATGACTATGCCCTGAAGATAATATATATACCCCTTTACGTCATCCTTACCCAACCTAACCTAACTAATCCGAGCCTAACGTAACGAAAAAGTTACAATTTCGTGTTTTCGATATGATGTGGACGCGGTGCGTGACGTCACTATGAAGTTTTAATGTTCCTGCCGGTGTAGGCTCTTTAGACTCTACTGGACTCGAGAATAGTAGGATATAGCAAGCAGGTGCTAGATCTTATTGTTCCTAACTTGGATTTTACCGATTGATTGTTTTGTCGTTATATGGAGAGGCATATTGTTTTTAGGCTGGTTCTCCGTATGCACTAGCGGTCATTGATTAAGCCTACTGTGAGACGTGTGGAATGGGTACAGCATTATCAGGGAGCAGATGCCTGTCCGAACCATCACTTATTCAGTGCTGACCTTAATCTGCCTGCCTGAGTGACGCGCGCATCATCAACTGCGCCAATCTATTGGCAAAAAAATACAAAAAACAGACCTCCAAATATGAATTATTTAACTTCCTTCAGGGGATATTATTATATATTCATTATTAATTATTTACCGGGTACATGTGTATAGTACCAATAAAGGCTCCCCTGCATGTATATGCCTAAACATATACATGCTTATACTTTACATTATTATTAATGTAAAGTACATGTCCGCTCGCCTACAAGCCTAGGCTGTCCCCTCGCCAGAATACCACATGAGAGCCGGATAACATAGTTCACGGTCTCTGATCATATTATTATTATTCTTACTTGGCTTTTGCTCATTCTTAACTTCAAGGTCCAATTCAGTTTTAATTCACGGTTGATGTTGGGAAATACGGCATTATATCGTTTCGGCGAGCTTGTTCACCAATAAATGCACTCTAATAGTGTGTCTGTTAGTGTGTAGTGCACTCAGTAATGATATGTCTTTCCCAATGCATTATTGATTGAAATGGTGATAATGCCTACAATATTTTAACTCAATAATAATATAAAAAAAACTCAATAATCATAATGAGAGAGGACACAGAAACCCATTTTTTTTTTAGATATATACAAGAGTTGTTACATTCTTGTACAGCCACTAGTACGCGTAGCGTTTCGGGCAGGTCCCTGGAATATGACCCCCCACGAAGAATCGTTGTTACAACCAAGTACACATTTTATTGTTGAGTTAAACAGAGGCTACAGTTAAGGATTTGCGCCCAATAAATCCTCCCCGGCCAGGATACGAACCCATGACAAAGTGCTCGCGGAACGCCAGGCGAGTGTCTAGTGTAAGATAGAAAGACACTGAGAGTGTAAGATAATAAGTGGTGGTAAGTGTAAGTGGTAAGTGTAGTGGTAAGATAATAAAATTCAATATAAGATACGATACGATACAAGACTCAATAAAATCCCTATAAGATACGTTTTAGCTGACACTTTAATCATTTTAATTGTTGACAAACTCACCAAATAACCATACTTCAAATATACCAATCACATCCCGTACTCAAGCCAGGCTCGTTAAAGCGGCGGTCGTCTCTTTATATCGCATACATTAGTTTTAACAAATTCGATATTAAAAGGTTTGCTTTCATATATAAATTAAAATTATTATATATTAAAGTTCTGTGTATAGTTGGGTGTGGGTTAGGTTAGGTTAGGTTAGGTACTTACCTAGTTGTGCTTGCGGGGGTTGAGCTTTGGCGCTTTGGTCCCGCCTCTCAACCGGCGATCAACTGGTATACAGATTCTTGAGCCTACTGGGCTCTATCAAATCTACATTTGAAACTGTGTATGGAGTCTACCTTTTCTACATCATTTCCTACTGCATTCCATTTACTAACTACTCTGACACTGAAAAAATTCTTTCTAATGTCTCTGTGGCTCATCTGGGGTACTAAGTTTCCACCTGTGTCCCCCTTGTTCGTGTTCCACCTGTGCTAAAGGGTTTGGTATATATATATATATATATATATATATATATATATATATATATATATATATATATATATATATATATATATATATATATATATGCACAGACTACATATCCCCAACAAAACAAATTATAAATGTTATGCACTAAATACGTAAGTTTACCATGTAGTTATTTAGTTTTCTCTGAACGTTACCATCTGAGATGAATTCAATGGGGTACAAGTAAAATACGCAATTTATCTGTAATTTTGATAATTAATTATATCTCATACATGACGAATGACATTATATCACTTATTAACTTATTATTATTAAAAGTAAGGCCTCACATAAGTCCATAGAGCGAGAAATGTATAAGAAAGTATTTGATCCAGGCCACTAGTGAGTCTGTGATGTTCAAGGAAGTAATCATGATAACAAACCCAGCCAACTATAAACAGTCAGCTGACACCAGGTTACACTCTGCTATCTTCGAGTACAAGACGGAACATCCACCATACTGCCCCAGCCACCATTGGAATATGTGGCTGGGGCACCATTGGACTAGTAAGCTGCAGTGGCCTATTAGTCCCCGTGACACGTCACCTCACTCTGTTATGTATTTGGCTGCTCCAACCAGATTGTAATCACCTATAACCTGTCTTTGAAAATGTTTACAGGGTCAACGGAATACATCTTTTAGCGTCAGGCCATAACAAAACCGTTAAGTGTATTTGGGAGATTTAATTTTTCGCTTTGTCAAGCGAAAAAAACATAAATATAGAGAGGATTTGTGTCAGAATCATTTATCTCACCCTTTCTGTCTATAATTCCCCCAATGGAAGGGGTTTAGGGATGATAAATTTTGCCTCACAAACCTGATAAAAGTCACCGACCAGGCTACCGAAATTATACGTTTAGGGAAAGACGAAAGATCACATATGTGGGTGTCAGAAAGTCTTTGACACAGAACCCCGGAAAAAGACTCGTGGATAAGTTGGAAAAGTGGGTAGCAACATGGTGCTTTCAGTAGAGAAAGGGAGCACCAAACCAACAGGAGGTGGTGAGTAGAAGTGAAAGGAGATATGTCACCAAAGGAATCCCACATGGATCAGTACTTGGACCGATCCTGTTTCTCATATATGTAAATGATAATACAGAGGAAATAAACCCATTTCTCTCAATATTTACTGATAGTGCAACAATTATGAAGAAGATTAATTCGGAGAAAGATCACTAGAAACTATAACATTACCGAAGCAAACTGAAAGAATAATTCAGCAAATGTCTACTAAAGTTTAACTCGAGTAAATGCAAAGTAATGAAACTGGATGATGGGAACAGGTAGCAAGTTGTGTTGCAAGGTGGAGGGAAGAAGTGCACTCACTGCACATTCAAACTATCCACACACACATTTATTGTTGTGTTAATTGACGGTTGAGAGGCTGGACCAAAGAGCCGAAGCTCAAACCCCGCAAGCACAACTAGGTGAGTACACACACACGCATTTTCTATATAAACACATACGCATTTCCTATATAAACACATAGGCATTTCCTATATAAACACATACGCATTTCCTATATAAACACATGCATTTCCTATATAAACACATGCATTTCCTATATAAACACATACGCATTTCCTACATAAACAAGCGCAATTTCCTATATAAACATACACGCGCATTTCCTGTATAAACATACACGCGCATTTCCTATATAAACACATACGCATTTCCAACACACATTTAATACACGAAACAGAGCACTCAGTGTTTATAGCCTCAATGTGTATTCAAAGTTAACCCATGTGATGATGGTCAGCAGGTTGATGCTATAAACCGGAAAAGTTTTTATATTTAGTGCTAATAAAATGTAACCTAACCATCATAAGGCTATTGCACGCCGAGGCTTAATATAGTATACATGTGCTATGCTAGGCATAGGAATATTCAAGTTCGCGTTTTATTATTATTTTTTTACGTACTACACAAAAAAACTCAGAGTGGATTACTGGAGCTCCATTACTACATGCTAGTATGAGCGACCACATATTTACAAAATATAATTTCCGGAGGGTGGGTTGGTAGGTTGACTATTTACTACTAGTAACTAACCTGCAATCCCCCGAAGATACCGTGCAGTGCGTTTTGAGGGTGCAACATGGACTCTGGTCAAGGGGTGGGCCCCTGACGCCAAATTTCGTGTTTTGAGGGGCCTCCTGCAGTCTCCAAAACTGTGGCCAAAGCCGCTAATAGCCTACAGCCTCTTCATGGCGGTCCTCTAACACCTTGCCGTATATGGTCGAGTCTCGCTCTGTAGTGTTCGAATGTATGCCGGAAGGAAATATAAACAAATCGCACAAACTTTCGAATTTATATATACAGAAGAACAGACTTGTGTAGTATATTGTTTTTTTTATACATATTTAACTTAAGGCTAAGGCAAGCTTAGCCTGTATTAGACCAGGGCAAGAGTTTTTACATTATAGTAATAATGCTGGACGTTGAGCGTTGGGACGAGTGCCTGAGCTAGTTAGTATCCAGCGCCATGTTTTTTTTCTCAGAAAACGGGTCCCTGACCAACTTTACATTCCAGTCCCAAAATTCTTTTAAAGACATTTTCAAACAAAATTTAAGTTTCAACACAAGAAAACATACTGTACATAAAAATTGAATATCCTTCGCCCTGTAGAGAGGAAAAGTACAATGTGGCGACCACCGTGTTTCAACCAGGAATAAAACTCCATTTGTGGCGCAGGCATAAGCGAGTTGGAGGATATTTCGTTTGTAAAAATGGGAAATTGTGGTGGAGGTTATGGAGAGGTGTTTGTATGCGGCAGCAGCCTGGAGTTGGCGTGAATTTGGTGACTGAGGAGAGATCAGTGGAGGACGAGAGAGGTGGCCAGGGCTAGCAGTAGGGACAACTTGGCCGGCAGGCTGGTGTCGGCCGAGCTACGGTGCCTCCACCTTCTCGCTTGCTCGCTCACTCTCCACTCTACAAATGTAAGAAATATGATGAGATGCTGCCTAAAAAAACGTGGCCAGATGTATTATTGTTCACGTGGTGATAATCATAAATACGTCAATCTTTGTTTTTTGTTTAATTAATTTATAATGGATGGACCTCATGCTGATGGACCTTATGTTAATGGACATCATACCCATGTGGTGGGCGATCGCGGTAAGTTTACAATTACATAATGGGTTCAGGAATTGGGTTTTAATGTTCTTTAAGTTAAGTGCACATACACTTAAGTTTATGCAAAGAGGCAGCCAGGAGGAATATGGTTGTACGTGCCGAGGCCTACACCAGCATCAAGCCACAGCTATACCTTCCAACTTTGTGAACAATTTGATTTGCATTTTTTGTGAACAATTTGATGCTGCTGTAACACGGGTTCGGGTTCCTCTCCCTTTTTCTTCCTTCTTTCTACTCCCTCTACCCGTATTCTTACTTTTATTTCTAAACCAAGGGACTCCAAAACTTTTAACAAAGCCAACTCCACGCCACGTGGTCCTAAGACGATTGACCGACTTAGGATTCTACACCCAGTATGACGTGACCTAAGCTCTGAACAAAACCCTAGAGTCACCTCTGCTGCCACCACCAGACCAGTAATACAAGAGCAATGATCGAGGTCTGGATCGATCACGCTAATTAATCAACCTAGGGGGCTTGATCCCCACTATAAAACGATGACCTTGAGTGTGGAATAAATTACACGGTAATGATAATTCCGATTCGATGTTAGAATCGGCGCCCAATGCAACTCTGCCTCGTGTGGACCACGTGACCAGGACAAGTATACACATAAACAAATGGAAACAATAAAATGCAAATTAATAACAAATTTAATTTATTAAAAGAAAACTAAAACAAAATCTAAATATGTTCACTCCCTATCAATTTAACACTCCCTACTTGACCTGAGTGGCAAATGAGACTATTTCTATACTTAACAATAGCAACTATACCTTGGGCGACCACAGCTAGTTGTCTTGGTTGGTCTTGGGGAGAGGTAAGATGTTTGACCTCTCCCAGCTGCTTCCGTGACCCCACTGATTTGTTCCTTGTCTGGTCTCCCCCAGACAGAACATTGTATCCTTCCGCCTAGTCAAAGTTCTACCCAGTTACTAGCAAGGTTTAAGTTATAACAATTAACCTCTGTTGTACTTAATTGATCCAGACTGGTTGAATTATTTTACTGAATTAAATTACAAACATCTAACGGCAGAGCTGTTCCCGATCACAAAAATGGTTATTAAAACTTTGAGAAATATTAGACATGTCAACCCTGCTGACCTATGACCGCCGGTCACTCCGCCTTAAAAGTTAGATCTGATTCGTGACGTCACTGATGGTGACTTAAACTCAATAATTAGAATACTCTTGATATTGTATCCAGTACTATTATACAATACAATTTTAATGCAAAATGAATAAAGGCTAATTTTCTCTAAATTACTGAATACTATAGGATGATTCATTTTACGCAGCTATGAACAAAGCGTTGGTTATTTCCACCGCGAATTCCCCTGGGGGTCAGGTCACCATGCGGCTCAGCTTCCCATTCTCTTTTGTCGATAAACCACTCTGGATAATTCTTACAACAGCCTAGTCTGTTACAACCCCCCCGCACAAGCACTTAGTAAACCTTGTTAATTTGTTAAAATTCACGAGGTTTAGTATCCAAACCCACAATTCAACTCATGCCACAAACAAAAGCTAACCTAACTAATAAAATTTGACAAATAATAGTCCAACATCATAATGAACATGTTCATATTTCATAAATTTCTCAGCTGTCAACTGACAGCAATCCTCTAATATCAGGAAACATACATCCTATCCTTACTGACATAGCTAAATAACATGTCCCTACTCTACCATCAAAAACTAGCTATTAAACTCTCTTGGCTCTTCACTAGCCAAGTCCACGTGTCCTCTAGAGCCGGCCACACCGTGCTCAAACAAACATTAAAGTTATAAGTTCAGACTGAACTTTCAGTCATCCGGGAGCGTACTACGGAACTATCAGGTACACATCCGTGTACTAACCACTCCCCATCAAGGAACACACCTAACGTTTATTACATGTATCTAAAAATAAAAATTCCTATACTATATCACAGGTTACGGCTGACTGTACAGCCAAGTGTTCTCACTCACTAGAAGTGTCAATGTTTATATTGGTCCGCCTCTCCTGTGTTCAAACATTCTGAAAAAAATAGCACAACATAATTTTCCATAACCGTTTGTTCTGGGCTGAGACAATTACACAGGGGCTTCGATTTTGATTACTGACCAATTCATAGAGTAAAATTCATATATTATACCAGAATTATTATTTTAAATCTGTTTTTCAACATTTATAAAGTATTGATTCTAAATCTGTTTTTCAACATTTAAACAAAAGTGTCCAGATGTTCTTTACACAGATGTTCAGAGCCACTTTGTTGTTTGTATCAATTGTTCATATTGAGTAAACGATAAAAAAAAATCGATGCTGCTGGATGCTGAATGTAGTCGATGACGGTGTCGATCTTGCTTCTTCTCATGTGTAGACATCAATACCTGGTCCTCTTGTACTCCCATCCGGTACTCCTGAATGACGACAGAGTGTAGTAGAGCTGAGTGCCAAGTGACAGCTGTAGAATACTGTTACTTCGGCCATTAATCTTGCTCTCGACAGTCCACACGCCTTCGTATCAATCACAGTTCACACGGTAGTCTTGATGTTAAACTTGTCGCAGATGACCACAGCAGAGCAGAACTGGATGTACCAACGGTGTCTCTTAGCAGGAGTGATGTTAGAAGGTCGTAGAGGCGGGTTGCTTGTTTGCAGAACAGGTGAATCTCGTCTTCCATCATTGCTCACGTCATCTCAGGCGTTTCTTGATGTCACCAGGTTACTAGGCCGTAAACACCAACTGTGCATACCCTCGTACCGCCGACTTTAGGCCAAAGGAGACAATTTTGCGACCTTCTATTGGCGAGTCCCGGTACTCTGTAGGGAAACCGTGCCTTCCACCTGTGACCGCCTTACTTCTGCTTTCTTGTTACTTCAGATGACGTAATCATTAATCTTCCGGCGAAATTCTTGAGTACTGCTACGTGCTTTCCATTTCTTGACCTCTCCTCCAACACTGCTGGAATGACTGCAGTCTTGATGACGCAGCAGGTGGGTATTGGTGATCTCGAGACAGCTACCCCGGCGTTGTATGGCACCTCCGGTGACTGCTATAATGTGGACAGCTCGCTGGCCCTGACAACCTCGTTAGTGACGTGAGGCGTCGGCCGGGTGACTCTTGGACAGTCACTCATCCCCAAAGTAACTGATGTATGGGTTACTGGGTCTGGTGGGGGGAGGGCTTTGTGTAACGTGCCTCCCCCCTCGGTCTTTACAGACAAGGGTTCACGTGTGGCTGGAACAACTGGGTCGGTGTACCAATCAGACCTGGGAACAGACAGACACAACACAGCGGAAGCATAGATATACTCTGGGTTTGGTGGAGGTGGAACCCCAGAGCACGGTAAAAGTTGCTACCTGAGTCAAGTATAGACATAGTACATCTCATTGCCTTTACAGGAAAATCTAATGAACACTAAATTATACTAACTAAGGAAGTTACTTTACTGTATAGCGCGAGATCTCGTCACCATAGGGTGGCGAGACTGCACCTGACTACTGATGAGCGATGACAGAGGGTCATCCTCATCTTCTGACTCGTCGGTGAAGCCATGAGTCAGCACTGCTGAGTCAGGAACTAGACCCGCTGAAGGCAGTTCTAATTCCTCTCTAGCATGATAATGTTTCAATTTATTCACGTGAATTGTCCTTTCCACCTGGTCCTCGAACACTCCTTTTATAACAAGATTAACCGGCCCCGCCCTTTTAATTACTCTATAGGGTCCTCGCCACCTCGGAGCTAGTTTCCTGCTCTGATTGGCGGGCGCAGCCTCATTCACTCTCAATACGAGGCTTCCTTCCTTCAACTCAAGAGGGCGCACTTTCTTGTCATAAAAATGAGCATACCGAGTCCGTGCCTTCTTGGACGCTTCAGCTGCGATATTCCATGCATTTCTCATTTTACCAAGGACCTCTGAAGGATAGTCCTCCCCGTATGCAACATTATGTCTGTTAAGCAGACCTGACGGGAAATTGCATGAATTACCAGTAAACAAATGAAGTGGTTGGGTGTTAATTGATTGGTGGATGGCAGTATTCAAGGCGAACTGAACATAGGGTAGGTGTTCATCCCAGGTGTTTGCATCATGTTCAGCAAGGATTGCAAGCATATCCTTGACTGAACGATTAGTCCGTTCCGTCATTCCGTTTGCTTGTGGGTGGTAGGCCGTTGTAAAAGCCGAAGTTGTCTCTAAAATCTTACAAACTTCTCTAAATATATTCCCATTGAATTCTTGACCCCGGTCAGAGACTAAAACTTTAGGAGGTCCGAATACAGTAACGAACCTACGCAAGAACGCATCTGCAACCGTACGAGAATCCTTCTGAGGTAATGCAACTAGTGTAGTGTATCTAGACAGATGGTCAACTAGCACCAACACGTATCTGTTACCCGCATGACTGTGGTGTAAATCAATCAGATCGGCCCCCACACGATCTAACGGTTCACGAATTTCAGGAAATTCCTGAAGTGGGGCTTGTACCTTAAGGGTACCTTTCCTCCTCTGGCAACGAGGGCACGACTTCACGAAATTGATTACCTCAGAAAGTAATCCTGGAAAATAAAATAGAGACTTTGCTTTTAAGTGCGTTTTAAAGATCCCCGGATGCCCTGCAATTTTTGAAGCATGCGCAAGCTTTAACGCTGATGACCGCAACGCGTCCGGAATAACTAGCTGAAATACTGCCCTATCATTCTGGCTATTAACATAATACAGGACGCCCTGTTTCATTTCAAAATCATGTATAGGTAAATTCTTTTTCTTTTTGGGGTATTTTCCTCCCTCTAAATACTCAATAATCTCTT